CTAGCCAAGTGGGCTTTTGAGCTCACCGAATTCAGCATCAGCTACCGTCCGAGGGCTGCCATTAAGGCTCAAGCTCTAGCGGACTTATTGGCCGAATGCTCATACCAAGAAGCGCTAGACAGTGAAAAGAAAGTCTGGACCGTGTTTACGGATGGATCTTCCACCGAAAACGGTTTGGGGGCAGGAGTAGTGATAACTTCTCCCGAAGGCAAATCCTTTGAGTATGCACTAAAATTTTCTTTTAAGGCCTCGAACAATGAAGCCGAATATGAGGCAGCAATCGCCGGCCTAGAATTGTGCATCTCCCTGGAAGCCGATCATGTCTGCCTGAAAACAGACTCTCAGCTAGTTGCATATAAGATCAGCGGCAGCTACGAGGCCAAAGAGCCCTCCATGATAGCTTATCTTGCCAAGATCAAGTCAGTCATTGCAGAGCTGGAAACTTTTGAGGTTCAGCTGATCCCAAGGGGTCAGAATACTCAAGCCGATGCACTCTCCAAACTTGCCAGTTCATCTCTTACCGAGCTGAACATATCTGTATTGTAGAAGTGCGTCGAGAGAGAAGTGTCGACGAAGCACCTGAAGTGTGCTGCGCTGACCCAGAGCCTAGTTGGATGGACCCCATCCTAGGTTTCAAGCTTCGGGGAGAGCCTAGTTGCTGAAATGCGTGGGACCAACAGATGCAGATTATATCCTACGGGAGATTCACCTCGGCATCTGTGGGAACCACATTGGGGGAAGGACCTTAGCCCACAAGTCATTGAGGGCTGGATATTACTGGCCCACCATGATTGCAGATGCTAAGGAGCTGGTTCGGAAATGCGAAAAATGTCAAAAATACGCTCCAGTTATCCATCAGCCAGCAAGGGATCTTCAGCCGATCCTTAATCCACTCCCGTTTGCCCAATGGGGACTGGATATACTGGGACCATTTCCAGAGGCTGTGTACCAGAAAAAATGGCTGATAGTTGGTGTCGACTACTTCAGTAAATGGATCGAGGCCGAAGCAGCCTCGAACATTACAGAGCAAACTGTCAGAAAATTTATCTGGCAGAATATCAACACTCGATTTGGCATCCCGAGAGTATTTGTCTTCGATCATGGGAGGCAATTTGGTAACTTACCGTTGAATATGCCAGTTTGATGCCGAACTGATCTGTATACCGCTTCAACGGTAAGTTACCAAATTGCCTCCCATGATCGAAGACAAATACTCTCGGGATGCCAAATCGAGTGTTGATATTCTGCCAGATAAATTTTCTGACAGTTTGCTCTGTAATGTTCGAGGCTGCTTCGGCCTCGATCCATTTACTGAAATAGTCGACACCAACTATCAGCCATTTTTTCTGGTACACAGCCTCTGGAAATGGTCCCAGTATATCCAGTCCCCATTGGGCAAACGGGAGTGGATTAAGGATCGACTGAAGATCCCTTGCTGGCTGATGGATAACTGGAGCGTATTTTTGACATTTTTCGCATTTCCGAACCAGCTCCTTAGCATCTGCAATCATGGTGGGCCAGTAATATCCAGCCCTCAATGACTTGTGGGCTAAGGTCCTTCCCCCAATGTGGTTCCCACAGATGCCGAGGTGAATCTCCCGTAGGATATAATCTGCATCTGTTGGTCCCACGCATTCAGCAACGAGTTTCTCCCCGAAGCTTGAAAGCTAGGATGGGGTCCATCCAACTAGGCTCTGGGTCAGCGCAGCACACTTCAGGTGCTTCGTCGACACTTCTCTCTCGACGCACTTCTACAATACAGATCTGTTCAGCTCGGTAAGAGATGAACTGGCAAGTTTGGAGAGTGCATCGGCTTGAGTATTCTGACCCCTTGGGATCAGCTGAACCTCAAAAGTTTCCAGCTCTGCAATGACTGACTTGATCTTGGCAAGATAAGCTATCATGGAGGGCTCTTTGGCCTCGTAGCTGCCGCTGATCTGATATGCAACTAGCTGAGAGTCTGTTTTCAGGCAGACATGATCGACTTCCAGGGAGATGCACAATTCTAGGCCGGCGATTGCTGCCTCATATTCGGCTTCATTGTTCGAGGCCTTAAAAGAAAATTTTAGTGCATACTCAAAGGATTTGCCTTCGGGAGAAGTTATCACTACTCCTGCCCCCAAACCGTTTTCGGTGGAAGATCCATCCGTAAACACGGTCCAGACTTTCTTTTCACTGTCTAGCGCTTCTTGGTATGAGCATTCGGCCAATAAGTCCGCTAGAGCTTGAGCCTTAATGGCAGCCCTCGGACGGTAGCTGATGCTGAATTCGGTGAGCTCAAAAGCCCACTTGGCTAGCCTACCAGATTTTTCAACCTTGCCGAGAACTTTTTCCAACGGCTGATCAGTTAAGACCACTATCTGATGGCAATCAAAATAGGGCCTCAGCTTCCGAGCAGCTACTACTACCGCGAAAGCGACTTTCTCGAGTAGAGGGTAGCGAGTCTCGGCATCCGTCAGTGTATGACTGACAAAGTAGATCGGTTGCTGATTTTTACTTTCTTCCTTCAGCAGTACTGCGCTGATGGTGGCTGGGCTAACGGCCACATACAGGTACAAAGTTTCTCCTTCTGCTGGGCTAGCCAGCGTTGGGAGTTGAGCCAGATGCTCCCGAAGCTGTTTAAAGGCGTCTTTTTGCTCTTCCTCCCAAACGAGCTCTTTTGTTTTCGGGAGTTTCAGGGCTTTGAAGAAAGGTAACCCCTTATCCGAAGCTCTGGAAATGAACCTCGAGAGGGCTGCCATTCTTCCGGTGAGCCGCTGAACATCCCGCTTTGTTTTCGGCTCATGAAGGTCGAGCGCCGCTTTGACTTTGGAGGGATTGGCATCAATCCCCCTTTTGCTGACTATGAACCCAAGGAATTTCCCTGACTTCACGCCGAAGACACATTTCTTCGGATTCAGCTTCATTTGATGCTTTCTTAAGGTGGCGAAAGTTTCAGCCAGGTCCTTAACATGGTCCTCGGGTTTTTTGCTTTTGACGATCGAATCGTCGACATAGACTTCCATGTTTCGGCCCTTTTGATCGGCAAAAACTTGATCCACCAGCCTTTGATAGGTTGCCCCCGCATTTTTCAATCCGAAGGGCATCATTTTGTAATTGTACACCCCAGCGTTCGTGACGAATGCTGTCTTTGCTCGATCGTCGGGGTGCATGAAGATCTGATGATACCCCGAGAATGCGTCCATGAAACTAAGCAAGGCATGGCCACTTGTCGAATCGACTAGCTGATCGATCCTCGGCAAGGGATAGAAATCCTTCGGACAAACCTTATTTAGGTCCGTGAAGTCAACGCACATCCTCCAGGTACCATTTGCCTTCTGAACCATCACCACATTTGCCAGCCATTCTGGATATTGGCAAGGCTCGATGAAGCCTGCCTCCAGCAATTTTTTGACCTCGGCTGCGATGTCTCGGTTCTTATTAGCGGAGTAATTCCGCTTCTTTTGCTTAACTGGTCGACACGTTGGGTCAACATTAAGCTTATGGGAGATGAGGTCTGGACTTATCCCGGGCATATCAGTTGCCGAGAAAGCAAACACATCTCTGTTGTCCCGAAGGAGCTGAATAAGTTCACAATGGGTGTTCGGATCAAGGTCCATCCCGATTGTTACACATTTCTCAACGTCTCCTTCGGCCAACTCAACTGTTTCAGTCTGTTGGTCCATGTCCATTGCTGATGGACTGGACTCTTCATAATCTGGCCTGCTGCCTATGTCAGCAGGTGTCCCAGTCTTTTTGTTCTTCGGCTGACTCTCTGAGTCTTGCGGCTCAGCTGAAGAGCTAGCCTTTTCCCTTTCGGGCCCTTTACCTCTGGGTACAGATCCTTGGGCCGAAGCACTTAGGCCTTTCGGCTTTTTTGTGCTTGGCTCTCTTTCTTTTTCTTTCTCCTCCTCATCCTTGTCGTCATCTGGGCGACTACTGGATGGCTTGAGGTAGTTGCACCTTCGGGCGTCCTTTTGGTTGCCCTGTATCCTTTCGGGGAAGCCGGCGTCTGAGACGTAAATCATCAGCTGATGATAAGTTGAGACGAGCCCTTGGATCTCATGAATTATGGGTCTCCCCAAAATCACGTTGTACACTGAAGGAGCGTCAATGACCAAAAATTCAATCATGACGTTCCTGGCTGCCTCATCGCAGCCGATGGTGATAGGAAGTGTCACCTTCCCATCTGGATAAGTTGAAGCCCCGTTGAACCCGGATACCGGGTAGGGTACCGGAGTAAGGTGCTTGGGCTTCAGCTTGATTTGATTGTAGGCCTTTCGGAACAGAATGTTTGCTCCGCTGCCACCGTCAACAAGGACCTTACTGACGTCGTGGTTGGCCACCGTGGCGATGATCACCAACGGATCCTCGTGAGGGAACGTAATCTCCCCAGTCGCCGGTGCCGAACATGAAAATCTGTTTGATTTTAATTTCTCTTCCAAACAACGACCAACTTTGTGGTTCTTGGATCGAAGAGGTAACCTACTTGGAAGTGAGAGGAGTCTCAGCTCAAATGTTACTCACGAGTCACCTACAACAATGAGCTTGCTCAAAAGAGGAGAGACAGAGAATAGTGAGTAGGGTACTCTTAATGGCTACCAATTGGCTAGCTAGCCTAGTGCTCTCAAGTCCTTACTTCGCTACTCCAAAACTAAATCACCTACGAGTAAATGTTAATCATTTAGCCGGACTCACTACTCTAAACTTCGTGACCATCCCACAACCATATGGACTAGACCTCAACTCCCCGCTCCATGCGACGGTGCGACTTGGGCCGTTTCTAGTTTTCTCACACTAAACTCCTTTTTCTGTTAGTTTCTTACCAAATAATTATAATGGTTAGATCTCCCTCATCTTTCTCTCCAGTGTATTTCATCTTCAAAACCTCCATTTTTAACCAGCTCAAAAACCTCTGATTCAAATGAACTCACACTCATTCATCAACCTACATTTCCACATTTCTTGATCATTCTCTCACTTTTTCAATCAATCGATCAATTCATCAAAATTCTGGAAAAATGATGGTAGATTTGGGAGCATTTTCCGACGAAAAATTCGACGCCAAAAAATGGATAAACAACGCCGTAAAAGCGCGTCATCCGCAAGATGTGTTGGAGAATCACTTGGCAGATCTGGAAATGAAGCTTCAGTTGATGTCTGAAGAGATCTCCGCTTCTCTTGAAGAACAAAGTTCTGCCTCCATTCTCCGTGTTCCACGCGCCACTCGTGACGTCATCCGTATTCGCGACGACGCCGTTTCTCTCCGCTCTTCCATCTCCACCATCCTTACCAAGATTAAGCAGGTTTGATTTAATTTGATTTTTTTTTTTGGTTTGATTTTGTCTGTTAATCAAGAAATTTGAGGATATTTGATTGATTTTGTGTTAATGCATATTTTAATTAGTGACAAATTATGGATACTTGCGGAATTGTGGAATTGGAAGTAATGCTGTCAAATTTAGTATATTTTGTTGTATTTTTGATGATATGAGAGTGTGATGAATTACTTGATCCTAGTTATGGTGAAAATTAAGATGAATTTGTGCTAGACATAGTGTGCAATTAGCTAGGGTGTTTACGGATCGTGTCGAATAGTTGTTGCTCTAGTGAGACCATTTAAATGAAGGTGAAATTAGAAATCAATATAGTCTTGTATTATGAGATTAGTTGAAATGTAAGATATGAATTCATGTAAGTGAAGTTGCCATCATAGATAACAACAGCTACACTTTCTAAACTTCTAGTACAAAAATTGAACATTTAACCATTATGCAAGAGCAATATTTCGATGCATAATTTAGACTTTGGACCAACATATATATTGTATATCTAATGACCCAAGAAAATCAAGGGAGGTTGGGACCCTACCAGCCCAAACTAAGATTCGCCATTGTGCCTCTGAAATACAGAATCTAAACTGATAAACTATTGTTTGACAGCTTCCATAAGGCACACAATTGCGGTGACTAAAAACTTAATGGAAGTGCAGCAATTTGATTAAAACATAGTATAGACTGTTAAAAAATAAAGAGATAAGGGCTGCTGTCCACAATTCAATGCAAATGGCACTTCTTTAAAAGAATCAAGAGGTGGAGTTTATTTCCTGATAAGCTAGTATTGTCTTTTGGTCCAATTTAACCAGCAACTTTACCTTATAAGTGTGAAACTATACTCGGGCAAACAAATTTTGATAACTGAGGATTTCAGTGTGTTATAGCATGTACTAGATGTTAGATTTTTTAGATGCTGAAACAACAGCTTGCTAAGCTGGGTTCAGTTCAGAAGGTTTTGAAGTTTGTACCTTTGACTGACTCTAGGAATTATGGAACTGACTCTAGCGCGTAACAATTTTGGTCATAATGGCCCTTTTGTTGTCGTTGTTGTTGTCCCGAGTTTGACGGTAAAAAGTTTATCTATTACCATTGAACTGAAAGGAATAGTTTGGGACTTTTATCATAGAAACTATCTCTGTTACTTCAAGGTCTCCAACAATTCTCTTTACCAAATTAGGGGGCAAAAACTGAAAAGCCTTGTTAGATTTGGATTGATATATACTTTCATAAGTTAACCAACCAAGAATTAGTTTGGTACTAATTTTGGGAAGCTGTTTATTCCCTAATAGTGTAATATAGTCCAGCTTAGTTATTAACTGCAAAGTAACTTCTGTTTGTCCCAGTAGAGGGTTTTATTGCCAAGTCTTGCTCACTTCAACGTATAATCTTGAGAATTATATGTACTATTGAAAGTAAGCTGATCATCTCTACTATAAAATGTCAAATAGTATTTGAGTTGATGATTTTTTTTGGGATTGATCGCATAGATCTTGCTAATTACTTGAAGGGCTGTGGCTACATGTGTCTCTTGTTCTTTCATAGAATTGTTGCTCAATGAGAGCTCTTTTTATTACTTTGTCTTAACTCTCCTCAGGCTGAAGGCTCCGCTGCTGACTCTATTGCGGCTCTTGCAAAAGTTGACACTGTCAAACATAGGATGGAAGCTGCATACAAGACATTGCAGGTTTTATATAATTTTTTTCTTTTAAAAATCTTTGTACTTTATGATCTAGTTGATGTGGCTGAGAAAAGGTCAAGTCCTTAATAAGGCAAGTTTGGTGTGCTATATAGGATGCTGCTGGGTTGACCCAATTGAGCTCAACTGTAGAGGATGTTTTCGCGAGTGGTGATCTTTCACGGGCTGCTGAAACGTTAGCCAGCATGAGGCATTGCCTGTCTGCAGTAGGGGAGGTATGATGTTTAGCTGCTTCCTACTAGTCGTAAATATGTTCTATTTATGCTGGCCTTAAGATTATTTTTTCGGTGCTATACTTTTAGGTTGCTGAATTTGCTAATGTGAGGAAGCAACTTGAGGTCTTAGAGGATAGACTGGACGCGATGGTGCAGCCTCGATTGACAGATGCCCTGTCAAATCGTAAAGTAATGTATTTATATGGGTTTTGCATTGTCTGCTCCTATTATTCTCCTTGTGTTTCTTAAACTCCTTTGTTCTTACTATACAGATTGAAGTTGCTCAAGAGATGCGAGGAATTCTTGTGCGAATTGGTAGATTCCAGTCCCTAGAAGTGTACTATACAAAGGTTCACCTCAAATCCATAAAAAAACTTTGGGATGAATTTGAATCCAAACAGCGAATCAATAAGTTGGCAACTGAAAAAAATGATGGGCAAAGGCAAGCTAGTAATGACTTCCAATCAAATCATTCAGGCCTTTCTTTCTCCAAATGGTTGCCAAGCTTTTACGATGAACTACAACTCTATCTTGAGCAAGAATGGAAATGGTAAAGTCACAATTTTCTTGTTGTGTCCCTTTCTCAGTTGCCTTTCCTTAAAAAGCATGCTAGGCTAAGATTCTTTGCTTTCATACTTTTGTCCTCTTTTGTGAAGTTTTCCTTGCTTTCATATGAATCTTAGAGTTATTATTTTTCTTACATTTTTTTTTAAAAATTTTACTCTCCAATAGTAATTTTCTCCGGCTGTTTATGGCTAGAGCTGTGAGGTAAGAGTTGGTCAGGTAAACTCGGGTCGGGTCAATTCAGATTGATTCCATAACCTATGCGGGTCAGGTTTGGGTTGGGTCATGCTTGAGTCGGGTCACGTGACTCAAGTCGGGTCATACTTCTTATCGGGTTTGGGTCGGGTTAATAACAGGTCAGGTTACATTCGGGTCAGGTGAACAATAAGTCGGGTTTAATTCGGGTTTTCACAGGTTAAAACAGGTTAGGGTAATTCTCGGGTTCGAGTCGGGTTCGATTCAAGTCAATAATTTGCGGGTTAAAATCAGGTCGGGTCATTCTCGGGTTTGAGTCGGGTTCGGTTCAAGTCAATAATTTGCGGATTATAATCAGGTCGGGTCATTTTCAAGTCGGGTCATTCTCGGGTTCGGTTCAAGTCAATAATTTGCGGTTTATAATCAGGTTGGGTCATTTCCAAGTCGGGTGATTCTCGGATTTAAGTCGGGTTATGTTCAAGTCAATAATTTGCAGGTTACAATCAGGTCGGGTCATTTCCAAGTCAGGTCATTTCGGGTTCAAATAACTATAAATAGATAATTATCATTTTTATCAAGCTAATTATTTCCTATGACTATAATATATATGGCAATATACTAGGGAACTATAGTCTATAATTTAGGAAGATAATTATCTTCTTTGACCATACAACAAATATATACTATATTTAACTCTTAAATTTGAGGATGATGCTCCTTTCTTTTGCTGGCATAGACCGACTTGGTCTCCCAAGACAAAATGTTTTGATCAACAATAATAAGGTGGTCTAAATAGCATTTAAGGTGATTTGAAATCTGGTCAGAAACAATTTGGGTTGAATTTAGGTCGGGTCAATAACAAGCCGTGTTCATTTCGAGTCGGGTTAGTAACAGATCGGGTTGAATTTTTGGGTCGGGTAAGTAATAGGTATGGTAAAATTCGGGTCGGGTTGAATTTGGGTTAGGTTAATAACAAGTCGGGTTGATTTTGGGTCGGGTTTGTAACAGGTTGGGTTAAATTTGGGTCGGGTTAGGAACAGGTCAGGTTGAATTCAGTTCATGTTAGTAACAAGTCGGGTTAAATTTAGGTTTTGACGGGTTAAAACGGGTTTGGGTCAATTTCGGTTCAAGTCGGGTTCGGTCCAAGTTAATTAAATTGGCCGTTGTAAACCGGTAAATTGGTCGTTTAAAAGCAAATTGAATGGTTCCACATACCCGATTGGACTTCCGGAGGGTATTAGGGACCATGGTAAACATTTTGGCAATTTTTATTTTCGGGCGAAAAAAAGTCAAAAGATTCAAAAATTGAAGGCTAATATCCACGCTTTTTGAGGAATTTAGGAGGTTTCGTGGCCCGGTGTCGAAAAGTCTTGAAATTCTATGGGATACATCTCGGGGTCATATAATGTCGTTTGGAACCATATATGATCATTATTTGTTGCTATAAATGTTCGTGGTAGGCTTGAATTAATGAAATCGGTGCAAGTTGTAAACCGGTATATTGGTCGTTTAAAGGCAAATTGAATGGTTCCACCCACTTAATTGGAGTCCCGGCGGTCATTAGGGACCATGGTAAACATTTTTGCAGTTTTTATTTCCGGGCGATAAAAAGTAAAAAAATTCCAAAATTGAAGGTTAATATCCATGCTTTTTGAGAAATTTCGAGGGTTTCGGTGCTGTTGTCGAAAAGAAATGAGATTTTAGGGGATACATCTCGGGGTCATATAATACCGTTTGGAACCATGAATGATCATTATATGTTGTCATAAATGTTCGTGGTAGGATTGAGTTAATGAAATCGGTGCAAGTTGTAAATCGATAAATTGGCCGTTTAAAGGAAAATTGAATGGTTCCACCCACCCTATTGGACTCCCGGAGGGTATTAGGGACCATGGTAAACATTTCGGCAATTTTTATTTCCGAGCGAAAAAAAAGCCAAAAGTTTCAAAATTGAATGCTAATATTCACGCTTTTTAAGAAATTTAGGAGGTTTTGGGCCCGCTGTCGAAAAATCTTTAAATTCTAGGGGATATTTCTCGGGGTCATATAATGCCGTTTGGAACCATATACGATCATTATTAGTTGTTATAAATGTTCGTGGTAGGCTTGAATTAATGAAATTAGTGCAAGTTGTAGACCGGGTAAATTGGTCGTTTAAAGGCAAATGGGATGGTTCCACTCACCTAATTGGACTCCCGGAGGTTTTTAGGGACCATGGTAAAAAAATTTGCAATTTTTATTTCTGGGCGAAAAAAAGTAAAAAAAATTCCAAAATTGAAGTTTAATATCCATGCTTTTTTAGAAATTTCGAGGGTTTCAGTGCTGTTGTCGAAAAGAAATGAGATTTTAGGGGATACATCTCATGTCATATAATACCGTTTGGAACCATGAATGATCATTAATATTGTCATAAATGTTCGTGGTAGGCTTCAGTTAATGAAATCGGTGCAAGTTATAAATTGATAAATAGACCGTTTAAAGGAAAATTGGATGGTTCCACCTATCCAATTGGCCTGCCGGAGGGTATTAGGGAGCATGGCTAACATTTTGGCAATTATTATTTTCGGGCGTAAAAAATTCTTAAAATTTCAAAATAAAAGGCTAATATCCATGCTTTTTGAGAAATTTTGGAGGTTTCGTGGCCGATGTTGCAAAGTCTTGAGAATTTAGGGAATACATCTAGAGGTTATATAATACAGTTTGGAACCATATATGATCATTATATGTTGTCATAGATGTTAGTGGTAGGATCGAGTTAATGAAATCGGTGCAAGTTGTAAATCAGTAAATTGGCCGTTTAAAGGCAATTTTGATGGTTCCACCCACCCAATTAGACTCTCGGAGGGTATTAGGGACCATGGTATAAATTTCGGCAATTTTTATTTCCGAGCGCAAAATAAGTAATAAAATTCCAAAATTGAAGGTTTATATCCATGCTTTTTGAGAAATTTTTGAGGTTGGTTATGGTGTTGAAAAACATAGAGATTTTAGGGAAGACATCTCGGGGTTATATAATGCCGTTTCGAACCATATATGATCATTATATATTGTCATAAATGTTCGTGGTAGCCTTAAGTTAATGAAATCGGTGCAAGTTATAAATCGGTAAATCTGCCTTTTAAAGGCAAATTGGATGGTTCCACCCACTCACTTAGACTCGCGAAGGGTATTAGGGACCATCGTAAACATTTCAGCAATTTTTATTTCTGGGCAAAAAAAAGTCAAAAGTTCCAAAATTGAAGGCTAATATCCACACATTTTGAGAAATTTTAGAGGTTTTGGGCCCAGGGGATATATCTCGAGGTCATATAATCTCGTTTGAAACCATATACGATCATTATTAGTTGTTATAAATGTTCGTGATAGGCTTGAATTAATGAAATTGGTGCAAGTTGTAAACTAGTGAATTGGTCGTTTAAAGGCAAATTGGATGATTCCACCCACCTAATTGGACTCCTGGCAGTTATTAGGGACCATGGTAAACATTTGTGCAATTTTTATTTTCGGGCAAAAAAAGTAAAAAATTCCAAAATTGAAGGTTAATATCCATGATTTTTGAAAAATTTTGTAGGATGCGGGGCCCGTTGACGAAAATTCTTGAAATTCTAGGGGATACATCTCGGGGTCATTTAATGCCGTTTGGAACCATATATGATCATTATTTGTTGTTATTAATGTTTGTGGTAGGCTTGAATTAATGAAATCGGTGCAAGTTATAAACTGATAAATAGACCGTTTAAAGGCAAATTGGATGGTTCCATCCATCCAATTGGACTCTCGAAGGGTATTAGGGACCATGGTAGAATTTCGGCAATTATTATTTTCGGGCGAAAAAAATTCTAAAAATTTCAAAATTAATGGCTAATATCCTCGCTTTTTGAGAAATTTTGGAGGTTTTGGGGCCCAATTATCGAAAAGACTGTAGATTTTAAGGAATACATGTCGGGGTCATATAAAGTCGTTTGGAACCATATATAATAATTATTTGTTGTTGTAAATGTTCGTGGTAGGATTGAGTTAATGAAATCGGTGCAAGTTGTAAACCGGTAAATTGGTTGTTAAAGGCAACTTGGATGGTTCCACCCACCCAATTAGACTCCCTGATGGTATTAGGGACCATGGTAAAAATTTCGGCAATTTTTAATTTCCTAACGAAAAAAAAGTCAAAAAATTCCAAAATTGAAGGCTTATATCCACGCTTTATGAGAAATTTTTTTGGTTGGGTACGTTGTCGAAAAACCTAGAGATTTTAGGGAATACATCTCGGGGATATATAATGCCGTTTGGAACCATATATGATCATTATATATTGTCATAAATGTTCGTGGTAGGCTTGAGTTAATGAAATCGGTGCAAGCTGTAGATCGGTAAATCGGCCGTTTAAAGGCAAATTGGATGGTTCTACCCACCCAATTGGATTCCCGAAGGGTATTAGGGACCATGGTAAACATTTCTGAAATATTTTTTTCCGTGCAAAAAAAAGTCAATAGTTCCAAAATTGAAGGCTAATATCCACACTTTTTGAGAAATTTTGGAGGTTTTGGGCCCGTGTCGAAAAGTCTTGAAATTCTAGTGGATATATCTCGGGGTCATATAATGCTGTTTGGAACCATATATGATCATTATTAGTTGTTATAAATGTTTGTGATAGGCTTAAATTAATTAAATTGGTGCAAGGTTTAAACTGGTAAATTGGTCGTTTAAAGGCAAATTAGATGGTTCCACCGACCCAATTGGACTCCCAGCGGTTATTAGAGACCATGGTAAACATTTTTGCAGTTTTTATTTCCGGGCGAAAAAAAATAAAAACAATTCCAAAATTGAAGGTTAATATCCATGCTTTTTGAGAAATTTCGAGGGCTTCGGGTAAAGCTCTCAATTTTGGTAAACGGGTTAGGTTTGGGTCGATATGAGTTGGTCGGGTCGGGTCAATTCGAATTAATTCCATTACCTATGCGGGTCGGATTGGGGTTGGAACTGCTTGAGTCGGGTCACGTTAGGTCATACTTCTTATCGGGTTTGGGTCTAGTTTAGGTCAGGTTAATAACATGTCAGGTGAACTATAGATCGGGTTTAATTCGGGTTTTCACGGGTTAAAACGGTTAGGGTATTTCTCGGGTTTGAGTTGGGTTCGGTTCAAGTCAATAATTTGTGGGTTAGAATCAGGTTGGGTCATTCTCAGGTTTTAGCCGGGTTCTGTTCAAGTCAATAATTTGCGGGTTATAATTAGGTCGGATCATTTTCAAGTCGGGTCACTTTCGGGTTCAAGTCGGATTCGGTAAGTCAATAATTTGCGGGTTATAATCAGGTTGGGTCATTTCCAAGTCGGGTCATTCTCGGAGTCAAGTGGGTTATGTTCAAGTTAATAATTTGCAGGTTACAATCAGGTCGGGTCATTTCCAAGTCAGGTCATATTCGGGTTCAATTAACTATAAATAGATAATTATCATTTTTATCAAGCTAATTATTTCCTTTGACTATAATATATAAGGCAATATATTAAAGAACTATATTTTATAATTTAGGAAGATAATTATCTCCTTTAACCATACAACAAATATATACTATATTTAACTCTTAAATTTGAGGATGATGCGTCTTTCTTTTGCTGGCATGGACCGACTTGGTCTCCCTTGACAAAATGCTTTGATCAACAATAATAAGGTGGTCTAAATTGCATTTAAGGTGAATTGAAATCAGGTTAGGAACAATTTTGGTTTAATTTAGGTCGGGTCAATAACAGGTCGTGTTAATTTCGAGTCATGTTAGTAACAGATCGAGTTGAATTTTTGGGTCGGGTTAGTAATAGGTCCGGTAAACTTCGGGTCGGGTCAATAACAAGTCGGGTTGAATTTGGGTCAGGTCACTAACAAGTCGGGTTGATTTCGGGTCGGGTTTGTAACAGGTTGTGTTAAATTTGGGTCGGGTTGAATTCAGGTCAAGTTAGTTACAAGTCGAGTTAAATTTGGGTTTTGACAAGTTAAATTTGGGTTTTGACAGGTTAAAACGGTTTTGGGTCAATTTTGGTTCAAGTCGGGTTCGGTTGAGGTTAATAATTTACGGGTTACATTCGAGTCGGGTCATCTCTAAGTCAGTTTTATTTTCGGTTTCAGGTCTCACATACTCGGGTCAACTCGGGTCTAGGGTTGGTTTTAGGTCGGATCAGGTCGGGTTTGGGTCACCATTTTTTTTCGGGTCAGATGGGTCGGTTATTAATTGGGTTTGAGTCGATATTTCTGGTCGGGTCAACTTTTGACAGCTCTACTTATGGCTACGTCTTTAAGAATCTAAGAATGAATTTTCCACAAGATTGATAAAGTCATGAAGATCAAACACCACTAAGCATCGATCTACAGGGAGGGTACGTTATGTAGTCGCATAATAATTGAGTTATTATTGACTTTACTAATAAGATAGGTAGTCACTTAAGGTAGCAACGCTATTAATAGAGCATATTATAGAGAGGAAAAGCATGCTGAGTATTATTAAGATTTTTTTGTAGTTTTCTTTTACCTGCTTGGAGAGAACAAGCCTCTTGGATGTTTGAAACTGTCTTCTATTATTGCTGTTTTCCAGATGTTAAGCAGTCATTCTTCATCTTCTTTTAATCCTGTCCAAAGCTAAAGCTGAGTTTTAGCAGGCACCCTTTGTGAATTTGTGTTCATTATTTTGGCAATTTGGCTTGTCATTTATTTTGCTTCATAGAAGTTATTCACGTGTTATTTTTCAGGTGCGCAATTGCCTTTCCTGATGATTATACAACACTGGTACCAAAGCTGTTAATTGAGACAGTGTTGGCTATTAATTCAAGCTTCATTTCCCGCATCAATCTTGCAACTGGAGATGCTGTTCCTGAAACAAAAGCATTAGCTAAAGGTTGAATAAACATCCCTAAAGCCTTATTTTATATGCTCCCATTGCTCCATAAAACAAGGTCTATTGGCATTTTTGCTGTCATCTAGTTTTAAGGGCATACTTAGGCTTTTTTTTTTTTTTTTTTTTTCTCTGCTGTTCTAACATAAAATATTTTGAAACTATGAATTTAGAAAAGTATTTTAACAGGTCTGTTGATATTATATCTACTTTATTAAAATAATTATTGTTAACTTATTTCTATTAATGTTCTTGAAGACAATGAAATTTGACGGTGTGACATACTAGCTGTAGAAAATCTGTTTTCTTTAGGATGGAAGGAGTGATAGAAAGGTGCAGGATCATGTCACCCCCAAATTCTTCTTTTTTTTGCATGTCTACGTATAGGTTATGATTTTACCTTGCAAGTGGAATTCCTACTCTAAAAATTCCGAAAGTATTAAGTTTCAACCTTTGGGTATAATAGCAGGAACAGAAAATTCATTACTTAATAAATATGAAAGATTTTAGTATTGATGTGATGTTTATTCAAAACAATTAGTTGCCAGTTTTATTTTGTAAGGTGAGATAAATTGCATTTTGGTGTGCCAAGCTGATAGATTTTTGCTCTGGTGTGTTATTAGTGTGATGCAATTAGATACCCTTTTCAATTAGTGAGGAGAGATAAACTGCATTTTATTGTGCCCCATATGTATCAGATACATGTCTTTTATGAATAGGTCCTGTGTTGTTTAGAAACTGCCATTGTTAGCCAATAAAGTTGTATTGAATGATGAAAAGAGGGCTGAGGACTATGTCCAAACTTAGGAAGTCTTGGTGGAGCCTCGATGTAGAAAGACTTTCCCTCTCATGCTTACACTCAGCCAACTGGGGTAGTTTCTGTGAGATGGCTATAATTGCTCTTTGCTTTACTAGCATTCTAACTGTCATGTGAATCAATCTAATTAAGGTGACTTTATAAACTGTAGATTTTACAGCTGGCCCGACATAGGTGCTTTAGATATATAGATGAGCTAAAATAACAAAGTTTGTTCTCTAATTCATATCTTCAGGGACATTGGATTTATTATCTGGTGATATGCCCAAAGGAAAGATTCACAGCAAGCATCTTGATGCAATGATCGAACTGCATAACGTGACAAGCACTTTTGCAAGAAATATCCAACACCTTTTTTCAGAATCTGCGATGCAAGTATTACTTGATACAATGAAAGCAATATACTCTCCTTTTGAGACATTTAAAAAGAAGTAAGTTGAAGGCTTTGAATTTAAAATTAACTCATTTTGATCTTGCTTTGAACTGTTTTTGCCCATTAATTGAGCTGTAGCTCAGTAGTGCATGCCAAGTTCCTTAGACTAATTTGCAAATTATTACTTTGATGCTTCATAATTCTAATTGATATGTAAATCTTTGTGTGATAGATACGGGCAAATGGAGCGTGCTATCCTTGCTTCTGAGATTGGGAAGTTAGATCTTAGAGGAGCTGTTGCTCGTGGAGTAGGTGCTCAGGGAATAGAACTGAGTGAAACTGTTAGGAGGATGGAGGAGTCTATTCCTCAAGTCATTTTGCTTCTTGAAGCTGCAGTTGAGAGGTGTATTAATTTTACTGGTGGTTCTGAGGCAGATGAGCTAATTGTGGCCTTGGATGACATAATGTTGCAGTACATTACTATGCTTAATGAGACATTAAAATCATTAAGAGCAGTATGTGGAGTTGATAATACATTTGACATTGCAAAGAAGGACTCTGGATTGGACAAAAAGGAAGTAACACATAATCCTCGTAAAGCTGACCTAATTTCAAACGAGGAAGAATGGTCCATGGTACAAGGGGCCTTGCAGATTCTTACTGTTGCTGATTGTTTAACGAGCAGATCCTCAGTCTTTGAAGCTTCACTGAGAGCTACTCTTTCTAGATTAAGTACAAGTCTTCCTGCATCAGTATTTTCTGTGGACCAAAATCAGAGACAATTAGCCATTGACAATGAGTATGCGAATGTGAATTTAGATGAAAGAGCTGCTCTAGATATGGCTTCTGTACGTTTAGTTGATGCTCCTGAAAAGGCTCGAAAGCTAGTTGGTCTTTTGGAACAGGCAAGTACAATTCATTTGGTTTCATCTCTTCTTTTCTAGTCAATATATGCTCTAGTATTTTGTGGTCTAAGGAAAGTGCAAATAGATCGGGGGTTTATGAGTTTAGTGTAAAATTGGTCCAGGGATAGAGCAGCTGAAGGGGTTGTTTAAGAATCTATGTGAACTTATTAGTCGTCTGACGAATCTCTATTTGAATGTTGTCTTAAATATTAATTTTGTATGAAATGATGTGAAATTTAATACAAAGGGGCAAGGGAGTAGGTAGATTTTTTTGGTCAAGCTGCTTTGGCAAATACGGAGAAAGATTGTAGCAAATGAAAAGAGGTCTTTGGGCATCAGGTCATCATATATGAAAAGCTTTTTGAGAATCTTAACTGCTGTTGTGATAACGGGTGTTTAACCAATGTTGAATCACTAACAAATTCTATGACCCTCATCCATGGCTGTTATATGTGCTCTTCCTCTGTTTAGGGGCTATATTAGTATATTGAGGTGTTATTATTAATAAAATGATTTTTGTTTCCTTGGGAATCTTTGTATATATATGTTATGTTGTCTTATTTAAGGTGTATAATAAACTTACTAACTTTAGAAAGCTACTTATGGTTGTGCAGTCTAAAGACCCTCGGTTCCATGCACTTCCACTTGCATCTCAGAGTGTTGCCACATTTGCAGAAACTGTTAATGAGCTTGTGTATGATGTCCTGATATCAAAGGTACGACAGCGTCTTAGTGATGTGTCACGCATGCCAATCTGGGCATCTGCAGAGGAGACTAGCGCTTTTCCTCTTCCAAGCTTTAGCTCATACCCTCAATCCTACATCACTAGTATTGGTGAGTATCTCCTTACCTTGCCCCAGCAGTTGGAGCCCCTTGTAGAAGGTATCTCCAGTGATGATGCCAATGCAGATGATGCCCAGTTCTTCGCTACTGAATGGATGTTTAAGGTGACATCAATTTACCTTTTGCTTTTCCAGTTATCTGTTGAAGTTTTTTATTCTTGATTCCCCCTCCCCCTCCCCCCCCCCCCCCCCCCACCTTCACTTTTCCCCTATTTATTTTGTATATGTTCCCTTTATACCTGTTTGTGTTCATGATGCCTGCTTATACTTTGTTATTCCTAAACCTTTGAAGGTTGCGGAGGGTGCAGCTGCAATATACATAGAACAATTGCGAGGGATTCAATACATTACTGATCGTGGAGCTCAGCAGCTCTCAGTTGATATAGAGTATTTGGCAAATGTTCTTTCAGCTTTGTCAGTGCCAATTCCCCCAACACTTGCAACATTTCAGACATGTCTTTCCATCCCTAAAGATCAACTAAAAGATCTGATCAAGTCAGATTCCAGCACCCAGCTTGACCTTCCAACAGCCAACCTCATCTGCAAAATGCGACGTGTAAATCTAGATCAATAGTTTTGATGCCAAAATATGTCCTTGCACTTGTTTCCTTCATAAAATCTAAATATTATACTTGAACGGTTAAGCCCATTATCTCTGGCTGGAGCTGTCTAATACATTTGGAAGGAGCGATAAAGCATTTGAAGACAATGCATATGACCATCCATCACTTCGAAAATCAACCAACAAGCCTCAATTTTGTTTCAATAGTTCCTCATTTTATGCTTTTTGGGGAGATCCGTTTTCAATCAAAATATGTGTACTAAATGTATGTTCGAGGCCTTCGAGCACAATGTCGCTCCTAGTTGTACAGTTTTGTGAATTATACCTTTGAGCTTTGCCATTACTAAAGGAGGGTAGCTGAAGCGATACAGGAAAGTTATAGGCCCTATTTTTCTAGGCTCTTCAATCTTTCTTCTCTCTATATTATTATTGCTGAACTGAACTTGGTTTGTGAGTTAGATTTGAACAGAAAACACAGTAGAAAGTTGCACTTGCTCAACTATATTTGTATTTTACGAGAATAATTAGATAATTTTGTTTTACAATAGTTTTGCCACCATTCAATCTAATGCATCTGTATTGATATCTACATTTTTGCACATGTAAAAATGATACTACCTTCATTTTACTCACTTTTGTGATTTATAGAAACGATAAAATATAATCATGTGGAATCTTGTTTGAATCGTCCCGATATATTTTTTATAATATTCACTTTTTATAATTTTACAATGTTGATAATTAGAGATATTAAGCGTTAAAAACATACGTTGACAAGCGTGATAATAGAAAGGTATCAACTAAAAAAAATAGAGGTACTAGGTTGGAAGTAAGTAATTTTTTGAGAAGAAAAAAAAAAAAGCAATAGATTGATTGGCAAATTATCGTGTTCAAGTTTTAAAAAAAAAAATTCAAATTCCACCTCCTGAGTTGGATCTATCCTTCAATCAAATACTACCTCCGTTACAAATTATTTACAACGATTAGACATTTTTCCTCTCTACTTTATGTCAAATCGTTGCAAATAATTTGTAACGGAGGTAGTACTTATTTGCTAATTAATTTATTTTCTTGTTTATACTGCTAAAAAAATACTCGTATCACATATTCAAATGACATTGCTAAAATGGTGCCCCCAAAATAAGACTTAAACCCCACTTTCAATACTCATGAATTGATACTTTCAAAAACACAAAGGTCAATTGTTCTTGCAATAAAATCCATTCATTTGAGATCATCAATACTAGCTAAAAGAATAAAGATATCAGCTACATGAAAAGTAAAGGTTCAAACTTTTTTTTTTATTCACTTTTCTGGCAGGGATGGTGGGGTGAGGAGCTTCTTTTCCTAGCAGCTTCATCACAGCAAGAACAATTATGTAGTTGTTTCCAAAGCAAAGCAAGCTTTCAAAACAATGCTTGAATGCTGTCTAGTTTAATGCTTGGCATCTTCATCCTCGCAGAATTTGCTGTATTTGTCTGCATCCATCAAGGAGTTAAGCTCATCCGAATTGCTCAATTCTACCTTAATGATCCATCCCTTCTCATAGGGGCTAGAGTTGACCAATCCAGGGGAGTCACCAACCTCGTCATTGACTTTAGTCACTTTTCCAGATATAGGAGAATTAACATCACTAGATGCCTTCACACTCTCAACAGCACCAAAAGCCTCGCCCTTAGAGACAGCAGCTCCCTCTTCTGGCAACTCAACATATACGACATCACCCAAATGTTCTTGTGCATGATCTGTTATGCCTACTGTAGCTGAATTACCCTCAACTTTCACCCACTCGTGAGAGTCAGTATACTTCAAGTCCCCAACAACTGCAGGTGAAATAATAGTGTCATCTTAAAATATAATGGGCCAATATCATCATCTATCACCACATCCATATATATATATAAAAAAAAAAAAAAAAAAAAAAAAAAAGGCGCAGAAGGTTTGAGGATGCATTCGTCTTCAAAGCGTAGGAAGTATTTCAGAACATCTACAGTTAACTAAGCAGCTTGATGCAAGAAAGATATAAGAAAATATGAAAATAAAAATGACACAATTTGCATTTACAACCATAATAATTGCTACAAAGTGCATAGCTTGACAACAGAAATATGCAGCAAAGAACTTATATACATAGTAATTTATATGAGTTGATGATTCATGATAAGATTCACTCTTCAACTTTGTTAATTAAAACAGTAAGCTATACAGCAGGAGAACAAGTATGCAAATTGATTCATCCAATCGCCAAAACAGGCCCACGTAAGGTATAAAAATTGGATGGGCTCATTTATAGTAAGAAATCCCAACTCGGAAAAAGAAAGCATCCAGCACACTAACACTCTAACACATAGGAAAAAGCTCTAACCATATCACCCTCATAGCAGTAAAGGCTTTTCTTTTCTCCCGAAAGTATTACTTTAATTGATGCCAATAAGATGGGAGTTATATTCTAAAAGTTCAAGGACGCTTTCAAAAATGCACTCTACCCCTGAATGCTTTTAAATATTCTCATTTACAATGATCAATGCATGGAACAGGTGAAGGGATTAAGTGTGGCATAACCGCATAAATATTCTACACCACCGTGCAAGGCAACTAGACAGAACGACTATTTGTCACGGCAAGATCAAAAGGGCAGACATCAAAAACAAATAGTGACAAACCAATCAATCTGTCACAAAGAAGCACACTTTTTTTCCCTTCGACGTATCCTGGAAATTATAATCAGCCTCAATAAGCACACCTTACAAAAGGACACTTTCCAAACTGATATAGTTAACATCTAACCATAATTATCATCTCAAAAAACAATCTTGTGAGTGACATTATTCTTCAGTAAAACCCTAAAAATATTAGCTTAAATCCAAGTGAATTTAAAAAAAAAATTAAAGGTTATATGCTCCATAAATTTGGATTGAAAATGACATGATAATGAATACGGAGTAATATAAGACAATGTATCTTACACAATTACACTACACAACAGAAGCACAAGTGAATGTAAACGTCCCTTTCAACTCCAAATCTAAGGAACCGACGAAACCCATTAATTATTCTGCCATTTTTTGAGAAAAATACAAACTTTATAAAATTTCACCTGGGATAAATTCTTCAACAAATAAACCAAAGAACTCAAAAGTTACATCTCATATTTGCAAAATCATACACTCCAAAATTCATTTTTTTACATTCAACATTTACATCTTAATCAAATCCAATCATATCATAATCCTACCCAACTAATCACATATGAAGACTAATCAAAATGAATTTAAAAACAATAACCCAAACACAACAAATTCAAATCAAACACAAAAACAAGATTCAGAACAAAAACCCTTCAATCAAAACACGTCAAGAATACATACAGCATTTCAATAAAAACCCAGATAAGATCTTATGTAACAAAGGTCAAATTCAAAAAAAAAACATGTAAATCAATAATTATATTAAGAGAAAAAAATGATCAGGGATTGATACCAGTAGCAAATGATCTGGGAAGAACAGAGATCCCAAGTCTTGAGGCGGCCTTAGAAGCGAACAATCGTAAAGCCATGGTTACCCTACTTTGAGTGAAATCTAACAAAGTAGAGGGAGTATATTTGGCGAATCTATTGGGAAAACGAAGAAAAAGAGGTGCAAACTTTAACAAAACTCCAAACTTGAATTGAAATACAATACTACTCGTTATGTACTGTAGACTGTAGAGTGCAACTTTGATGTGTCAACAAACCCACCGAGGTTGGTGAGTGAAAGATTGGTAACAGCCCACTTTATTTTTATTACTAGTATTATTGTTTTTTTTTTAAAAAAAGTAAACCACGAGGGTGGCTGGGTGGGTGATGAGATTTGATCATCAGTCAGAATTGGAAGGAGAATACTAACTACTTGTGCTATCCTTTCACTCTTTTTTTAAGGTTTGTAAAGCCTTATTTGAAATTATATTTACAGAAGTGAAATTATTTTCACTGAAGTGAAATTAATTTTACTAAATATTTTTTTTTAAGATAAAGTGAATAAAGCCTAAATTGGTTGAAAATTTTGAATGGAAAATTGATAGAGATTATACTACGTAAAAAGTTGGTCCATTATGTGTACTCAAGTGTATTATTTATTTTAAATATTTTCATTGTTATTTAAATATTTCTTCAATAATTTTTAATTCTAACCTCCGTTTCTTTTTATAAAGTTTTTTTGAGATGACACGTTTCCTTTTAGGATAAATTTTTTACCTTGCATTTTGCTTTTTCATTTTCTCTCTCTCTCCTTCCTCTCCTTATTATATGTGTTTAAATCAAACGCGTCAATGCCGTCAATTAAAAAAAACGGAGGAAGTATTATGCTTTATTTTTGGTGTTAAATGATAATGCATGAATTCCTAACAGTTTAAGATCTCCTTATCTTGCCCTATTTAAAAAAGAATTGTAAAAAAATACAAACACTTTAGAAAAGTGAAGAACTAAAATTTTTGTACACCCCCAAATGCCCCAATGATTGATTAGTGAGAATGGTGAGCATCTCATTTTCCCAGAGCACCTTATGTTTATTCTTTGATAGTGTAATGGTATCTCAAGTCTCACTCAGAAGTTGGATCTTTAAAGGGATAAATAAAATTGCAACAACCGAAAAAGCAGAGTATTGTTCAAAATGACCAAGGGATGAAGAGAATAGGCAAATCAGTACTAGTGATAGTTGATGTAACTTATAAGATTGGATAACTTATAAGGATAGTTGCATTGCAACATAAAACAGTACTATGCAAACTCAGTGATCAATAATCAACAGAAGATTGAAATTGATCAAATATTACATAGAATGAAGGCGGTACTTAAACTACAAGTAAAAAGACAACACTATGAAGGCTGCCAAAAAAAGCTACCAATGGCTACTTATATATACATAAATACATACAGAAAATGTAAACCAAATCCATAGGAGGAGCAGGATGCTGTAATGCTGGCAGATTGATCTAAATGGTAAGCAACCATTTTTGTCAAGTCCTGGAAAACGGAAAATATGATGTCAGGTCAAGGGGAATGTATGATGGACAGATGGAGCCAATTCTCAAGCAACCAAAGCAAAAAGAATTCATGGTAATATGTCGGAGCCAAATTGATCTACTAGTTCTCCTTAACCAAAAACTGTCTATACCAAAACTTCTTTCTAAAGCCAGACCGTATAGCACATACTCCTGGATGATATAGCAACAACACGACCGGGAGTAGACTTGTGGTATGGGCTCCTTTTCCTCATATTGGCTCCATTTCACAAAATCGGTTACTTTTCCCTTTTGGAGTTCAAATTTTGAAATCTCAACAAGTATTGCCATCCATGTTTAAGATTGTAGATTTTAGATTTATTTAACCATCACATGTGATTTTGATGGTCAAATGTGTGCATTGGGGACAATAAAACAGGTGTAACCAATTTAGCAGATGAAGGTAGTAGATTACTGTCACATCTCCTGTGAGGATGTGACCAAGTGTTTCTTGGTGAACCTAATTAGATCTCAGGCATTAAGATAGAAATGATCCCCAGTAAAAAAATTACCAAAGAAAGTAAATAAACCCCATCCTAATCCTGGTAGTTTACTTCAGTCCTCATACACAGACCAGTATACACAAGTATAGTTGTGAGACTTGTGAGAACTTGAGGATGAAGAAGCATACGAGAGAAGTGGTGCATGAAAGCATTAGAGTTACCTCTAATTATGGACATTGAGAAATCACTTCTTAGCTGTGGCAGTTCTCTGAACAGTGGAAACTCCGTCAACAAACTTGGTGCGAAATATGACATTTGCATTGTTGAACATCCCTTCTTTAAGAGAAACCACAATGAACTACAAAATCCCAAAAACATATATCAGGAAAAAAAGATAAATTCTGAATAGGAACTTCAATTTATACCGGTAAAAGCAGAAGACAGTAATTAAAGTCATATTTGTTGACTGCTAATTAAAACTTAGGTCCACTTTATGAATTACATCAGTTAAATGAAATTGTGACAAAGAAGTACCATCTACATGCTGCTAATACTTGTATAAAATAAAACGTCAGTTACTTATTCTCACTCCTACCAAACAGCACTATAAAATGAACCTCAACTTCAGGTTTGTAATCCTAAGTACTCATACTACATTTGCGCTTTAAACTTATTGGTGATCACTGGTTAGCACTTGGTACAATCTACCTATGTCAGTCACATAGACAACTTTTTCTCCCCTCGACACACTGACAGACAATCAGAAACCAATCTTAAATAGGAGCCTCAGCAAGTAAGTAAATTGTGACTATAAGATAAGTCATCAAATTCAAAACCCATATATATATATACAACCATAATTATGGCACTAAGTCGCAGAAATAAGTGTATTCAAACTACATCAAACCATGTACCAAATTAGTCTTAATTGATGTAGACAATTGACTAGGACATTTTTTCTTTTATACGAAGTGATTGCAAGGACCCAATTATCAGCTTCAGAACTACAGATGTTATATACCAATACGAATACTCAAATAAATGAGATATGAAAGACCACATATTTGTTGAGAAAAGTCAGGAAGATACTGAATCAATTTACATCAATCCCAAATTCAAATTTCAACTATCAAATAGCATGGCTTATGCAGAACTGAACTCAATTGGAAACATTAGAAAGCATAAAACTAAGCTCTTCAGCAAAAACGGAAACTATCAGGGAGACCACACAAACTAAGTAACAGAAACGAAGTAGAATGCAACATCTTTTTCAGGTACTGTAAATTTAGAACGAGGCAATAGATGAAGGGTGTTCCACCTGAGACTGAGGGAAATGAGTTTTTATCATCCTTCCAATATTTTGTGTATGGCTCAGATCAAGAGCAGCGTCAACCTAACAAACATGCAAAGACAACATATTCAAAATGAAAGTTTATAGGCAAATTCAACCAGTTAGCATCAAACAAAAGACAACTAAGCAAAAATCAAAATGGAGAACTTAACAGAGTCAGAATTCTCAGAAACATGAACCAACTGACACAACCAGCTAGCATGAGGACATTCAGAAATCACTGTTACGCCCTCTTTACTAATACAAATTAATAAAACAAACAATGCAACATAACTCCTTGCCATCCTAACCTAAAACCAAAAACGAGATCCACAAACCATGGCACACTTCTAAGAAAAATAAGAAACACAGGCAAACTTCAATTGACTAGGAGACATTCCACAGAAACACAGTTGAAAAGATGAATAAGACAATTTTGTAAATGACATGACAATGCCATTTTTACAAAGTACCAGGTCTACTTACTTCTACTCTAAGATTTAATATTTGATACTACGTATGACTTATTTACCTCATCAAGAATGTAAAGCGGAGCAGGTTTAAATAGAAGCAAAGCCAATATCAAAGATAATGCAAGCAGAGATCGTTGACCCCCACTTAGTTCAGACAGCGATTGTTTCCAAACACCTCCAAATGCAACGCGAACCTCAAGGCCATCTAAAAAACTGCAACCTTCAGGAGGTTCCAACTTTGCTGTAGTTCCTGGCAATAATGTAGAAAAGATGGACCCAAAGTCGCTGAAATGAAACAAGATGGCTAGTAAGCACATCAAGAATCCCAAAAGATAGCAACTAGTTTGCTGGAAAACTGATAAAACTGAAGAAATAAGATTGCATGAAAGATAGACTCACTTATTCACTTTCACCCAAGTAACTTTCAAGGTCTCCTTTTTCTTCTCATCAAGCTCTTCAATGACCTTCTTGATCTTGGCCTTGTCATTCTGTCAGAGAAGACATATAAAGTGAGTAAAATATTTGGCAAGAGACATCACAGTAAGGTGATAATGAAAGCTAACCTCAATAATGTTCTTCTTGGATATCAAATCATTATATTCATCTTCTGCTTTCTCAAACATTGCCATTACCTTTTTGTTTACCCTTTTCTCTAGACTGAGGAAAGAAAAGAAGTTACAAAAATGTTGCCCTTAAGAATCAATCGTCAAAAAAGCTAATAAAAATATTTAATTTAAAAATATATATAAAAAAAGCAAACTAAATAAATTAAATATAAAGAATATGTTCTACCTTGATTGTTCGCCCTGCAGTCTCTCTAGTTCCTCCCTCGCTTTGCGAGGATCACGAGATGCGAAATCATAGTCACTTCCACTTCGACCAAAAAGCTGCTTCTCAGATGCTATCCAGGAATGCTTTTCTACTAACCTTTCAACCTTCAAAGAGCACTCTTTCTGTTCCTCCTCCATCCTTCTCACCTATGCATGACACAACTTATTACGCAGGGAACAGCATTTTGGGGCATCAAAAAGGTCTTAATGTATGAAAAAATAATAATAGCCAGATCAAAGATTATAGAAAAGACCATAAAGATTAGGCACAGTATGAAACAACGTAAATCCCCAGTATTGTACCTACTATTGGCTAAAGAGTGTGCATTTAAGAGCCATACAGTACGATATCAAATAATTATGCCATGGGACACATTAAAGACACGGAAACCGACAATATACATCATACGCAAACAAAACTAATAAAACTTGCTCATGAACTCAAAATTACCTCATTTTCCATCTTCTTCCTCTCAAGGCTTGCGTCACTTATTTTGTTTTGGAGCTTTTGCTGCTCCTTCAGAATACAACTAATTTGTGAGTCGCATTCCTTCAACTTTGAACGAGCTGCATTAAGGTTTGATAGAGCCTCATCATGATGTTCCTTAATAGAGGCCACCTGGGAAAAAACAAATTAAAAAGTTAAAATGCTGTAAAGGTTACCATTAAGGGCACTAACTAAACATCATGCATTAGGAAGATTTAAAAACTGAGTAACCTTGACTTTCTGTTCATTGATTTCAGAGACCAAACTTTGGATTTGAGACTGCAGAGAATCAAGTTGGCTCTCAAGGGAAGTACGCTCTTCAGCTACAGCTTCCATTTCCATTATTAGTTTTTCTCTTTGATTTTCATGCCCCTACAAAATGCACACCAGAATCAGATGACACGAGGAAATGAAACAACAACGCCATAGTGCCAAAATGATTTGGGGTCAGTTATTATTAATTGTCATAAGGAACCGTCTGAGAATGAGAAAAGAGCATAAAAAGATGACTGGTGCAAAAAAAAAAAAAAAAAAAAAAAGTGTGTAAAGTGCTTGGTTTTAAAAAGCGCGCCTCGTGCGCGCCTAGACGCACCTCGCTCCCAGGCAGGGAAATGGGCTTTAGCTAGGCGAGGCTCAGTCACCTACGGAAGGCGTGCGATAAGGCACGCCTTTGCGCCTCATGGAAAATAACTAAGATCTAAGTTATAAATTGAAGAATGATGGACATTTTTTCAAATTCAGACTACCTTAGCTTTACATATATCATTATTTAATTTATTATGAATCTTCTTAATTGGTATTAAGTACAATCAAAGTAAAAAATAATTTGAAATAAATATATAAATACATGCGCCTTGGATACAAAAGGCGTGGCCTTCGCCTTGCGCCTAGGCTGCAAGGACCATTTGCGCCTTTTAAAACTAAGGTAAAGTGAGAAAAAGAAAGAGCATACAAGTAAAAGAAGCCCATCAAACATGATAGGACTTGTTGCAAGCTGCAACATTTATTAATTAATTAATTAGGTCAATCACATTATCCAAAAGACTTACCTTGAGATCTTTGGATGATGATTGCATTTGGCTCTTAAGAGCCTTAATCTTCTTTTCTAAACCTTTGAGCCTGGCACCCCTACTTTTATCATAATCTTTAATTGATTTCTCAAGAGTGGACACTTTCTTAACACAATTTTCATAAGCAGCTTGCTTCTCCTTCAAAGTAGATTTTGCATCTGACAGATCCTGCTCAATCTTCTTCAACAATTCTCCAAGCTGCATTGCATTTAAAAAATATTAAAACCAAATAAATAAATAAAAAATCAACATTAGATAAGGAATCCCAGCTATGGTACTCTCATCCATGTACAGTAAATAAAGTAGCAATGCACAAAATTTACAAAGATGAAACAATAAAGAGGAAGCAATACTACCTTATGATGCTCATTTTGCTCAGCACGGCCCTTGAATAATTCGAGCTCATATTCTTTCAGTTTCAACTGGTTGTTAAGGTCAGTAAACTTCTTCTGTAGGGGAAGGAGCTGAGCAATCTGCAAAATTACGATACTTGTTAATTAAACTGATCATGTGCATAAAATGATAAACAGGAAGCAACACTACATAACAAAATTAAGCTATTTGTCAATCTGCAAAAGTAGCATTAAAGCTTTCAGAAATATTAAGAGGAAGCAAGATCAACTCATCAGACTCCTGTTTAGAAAGGAGACACAGATCAAAATCAGAACCTTCTTAGAACTTCTAACAACCCATCAAACAAATAATTGTAAGGGTTTCAGTTTTAACTTCGCCAGCGGGTTTCCCGCTGCCAGTCCCAAGCCTTGATAAAGGAGGAGGGTTTCGATAGGCCAGTGACAGCTAGTGTAAAACTCTGTCACATCCCATGACATGAGCCAAACTGATTGGCCACCAAAAAGTTTATTAATATTCTGCCATCCGTCTATTACCAAGGATGAGGATACATAACCAAAGCTGGAATAAATATTTCTAGATTACCAAGCTGAATATTTGCAATTAAAAAGGAATAGTCCATCCACATATCCACTCGCAAATTCAGCTCAACAAGGCCTCAGTAGATTTTTTTTTTTTTTTTGTTTTCTCTAAAGGAGCATAATATTCTAAATCTATGACCTTTAAGCATCTGAATAACAAGTTGAATTTGGAACATACTCTGTGCCAGACTTTACTCAAACATGGTACAATTATGCATAACTACATTAAGGCTTAAGCAATAACAAATTGAGCAAGAAAATTTATATGTAGATGTTAGTGAAATCAAACAGCAAATCAACTTTTTAATAAGTTGAACAGTATAACTGTTCAGCATCAGCACATCAGAGTATTTATACTCAGATCCCTACAACAGCAACTTTAAACAAGAGAAAACTAAATACTTTCCATCCTCCAAGTGGATACTAACCTCCACTTCAATTTCAGATAATCTCTTCTGGTGAGTAGAAAGGTCTGTCTCAGCATCAGCCAAAGCACAGAGACGTCCTAGCAATTCACCACCGCCCCTGACAACATCAAAAAGAAACTCAAAATCTGCTACCTATTGTTGGTTTGACAACAATATCTTTCCATGGAGGGTTCCAGGAAATTTTACTGCTATTGTATTAACTTGAAATAATGGAAGTTGAAAGAGTAGCTATTACCTACGACTACCGCCAGTAAGGAGGCCACTAGGCTGAAATATGTCGCCTTCAAGGGTGACACATGGCTCCCTGACATCAATGTTTCCATCTTTATTAAAGGCAATCTGTCACCATATGAGTTCAACGTTATATTAGTGTAAAGTTGGAAGCACGATATTAGCTTCTGTACCAAGCTGTCACAGTTCAAGACACAAGATGTTGGCATTCAACATACAACAGTTATTTTCTCCAACATACCACTAAAATGCTGCAATTCATGAAATTTCTCCAAAGACCAACTAACATCATGTACATTTTCAAATGTCCATGTCACAAATTTGACTCTGAACTATATTGCATATGAACTAACCTTTACAGCAGCTTCCCTGGTCTTGCACACAAACGTGGATCCAAAAACGTACTCCATAGCCCTCTGTGGAGTTCATCATATTTGACATATATAGTCAGAACCAACTTCAAAGAATATACTTGAAACGTTTGAAGTGGATAGTTCTTAGTGCAATCACAAAAGATGCTTAACAAAATTACAGAACAGTAGTACTACTAGTATTTAATTTTAAAGCTGCTTCTTGTTGAGCCTATATTGGATATAATAGGCAATAGATAACAAGAAATTAAATTATAAATTACATGAGATTAGGTAACAACAGAAACATAGACAAGTACCTTTAATTCCTCGTCATATTCCACCAAAGAAAGTGCCAGTTTTGCATTTTCCTTTCCTACCTGAAAATGTAGTATATAAGAACCATTACAAGAACAAACTGTTAGAAATAGATATGACCTAGCGTTAAGAGTGTATAAACAAACCAGATTAGAAGCAGCTCGCTGTTTATCGGGAGCAATGACATGAGCTTGAATTTTGTTCAAAGGAATAATAGTGACTCTTCTTCGAAGATCACCATTTTGCAAAAGTTGTTTACCAGTGGTTTCTGTGTCAACTACAACATTAAATAACCTACCACCAGCCACAACCTGAAATACAAAACTGTAATTAGAAAGATAAAGTATGTAATGCAAGAAAAACATCATCCAAGTAGCAAACATAAATTTTTAAAAGGTGGAAAAAAAACAGTAAAAATTGCATCCAGTACCTCCAGAGCTGTCATTGTTGACCCATCTTTTATTTTGATGAGCTTTGCCACAACACCTTTAACCTTTGACCTCTCAAAATTCTTGGTAGGATCCCGGTAGGTGAAATCAATATTTGACAACTGTCCTGAAAGAGCTCTTATTTTATCTTTCAGTTTCTGCACTTCCTCCAATTCAGCTGCACGCTCCTGATAATGAAGGTGTCAAAAGAAGATGAGGGCAAAAAATACTGAAGAGAGAGAACAACAATCTAGTAATAATCATTAGATACTAACCTGCTGCAGAGCTTCCATGCGACTATTTTGATCTTCTTTAAAAGGGAGAGAATCCAGTGACTTCCTAACAGCTTCGACTTCTTTTTTCCTAGTTTTCAATTCGTTTTCTACAGCAGTAGCCTCATTGCGCTTTGACTTTAACTGATTAGTTTTCTCGACTAGCTCCTTCTCACCATGGGTTATTTGTGTTTTCAGCTGCTTTACCTCTATTTCTACATTTCCTACCGCTACTTTAGCATCTGCTAACTGATCCTCCAAGCATTTTTCTTCATCTTGACTGCTCTTACCAGCCAGCACACCCTGTTCAAAACCATTCAGTACCCTTTTACATGATTTTTAAAAAAAAGGTTGTAAACAAACATTCAAGTAAGCAAATGATCAGAATGTTGATCAAAACTGATATTATACCTGGTATTCTTTTTCACTGTCATCTAATTCTTTAGAGAGTTCCTGAGCTTTTTGTTTAAGATCAGCTGCACCATCTTCAGCATTTTTGACAGCAGCAGCCCTCTCTTCAACAGACTGTTTAAGTTCTTCAATGTTTTTAGCAACCTTGCAAGATTAAGCAAATGTGAATTTTATCAAATAATTGTTACAGGATACACAACCAAACACATTTGGAGACAAAAACACCTACCTTATCAGCATTCTTTTTTTCACCTTTGAGAGTATCCTCCTTATTTTTCAGGACAGAAGTCTCCTTCACAAGATCCTGAGCTAAAGAATACACTTCCTCTTGCAAAGTTTTAATTTCACCTCCCATACTTGCTTCCTTCTCAGCTGTCAACTCTGACACTTTGGCATCCATTTCTTGAAGCTCGGACTTCATCCTAGATGCATTAGTATCAATTTCGGCAATATGAGTCTTTATTTGTTCCACTTCATGGACTGCACCATCTTTAATCTTCTCTGCTTGCACATACTCATAAGCAATGCAAAACCTTTTAAGCCTATCTAACTCTGCATTCCCATTAGCCCATTGCATGTACTGCATTCTTTCCTTCCTCAACTTTTCCAAAGCAGGTAAGATTTCCTGATCAAGAAGCTTATCAATCTCATCAACTTTACTTTGTTTTTTTTCAAGTGTTTTCAAAGCAGAATCTTTCTTATTTTCATACATCCTTGTCCCAGCAGCCTCTTCAAGCATAGACAATATTTCAGGAGGCTTCATGTTTAAAACTTTTGTAATACGCCCTTGCATAATAAGAAAATGTGGATTATTCACATTGAGCTGCACTGAATGGAAGAGGTTTTGTACCCTACTAGGTTGGGCAAGGTGCCCATTAATCAGATACTTGTTCCTGCCGCCAACCACGATCTGCAAAATTTGACCATAAGCATATAGCTCCTTGTAATTTCGATTTCCAAAAGCAATCTTAATAGCTCATGACGTTATGACTCTTATGAGCAGTCGAAAAAGGTTGATAATTTACTTGAAAGCTAGGTTCAGACTGATTAATGATACAAACAAAATGCCACCAGAATAAATAGGACCTATTGGTTGATGAAAAAATCGAGAGACTTAAATACATTAGAGCGTTTATAAGAAACATACTGCATTGTCTTTATGTAGCAAACAAGTCTCATTATCGATGTTACTTGGACTCGGGAGCTCATATCAGACACGTGACATGTCCAAGTGTCAGACTTGGCTAGATTGTAAAATGTCAAAGTGTTCATACCCATATCAGAATGTCAAGAATCAACCGCCTATGCTTGAACTAAAATAAAAAGTTCGATTGACATACTCAAACATACAGAGAAAACACAAATTTAACTTAAAACTGAGCTAAAAACGAAAACTTTTAGAAAAAATATAACCTGGGAAAGTGATCACACTCCACTAAACTATCTTTGAACAATTTACAAATACAATGAACCATTTTAAGTGTGAACTGTGAATGGTAAAATGCGAATATTAGCACAATTAAAAAAACCTATTTTGCATTTGTACTGTTTCTCAATATTACTACAAATTTAACTTTTTTCCGACGCGAAAACTATAACCTTCATCATATTTAGAAATTCAAAGAACAATAACAATAAAACATCACTTAAAAAAAAATTAAAAAAAAAAAATCACCCAAATAACTAAAATCAAATAAAATTAATAAGTAAAATTGAAGCATACAAACCTGACGAGTAACAGTAATCTCAGCACAATCCTCATACCCTAAAGGGCTCCGACTACGATCCGAGTTATCGAAGATAATCGAAACAGTAGCTTTAGTAATTCCTGCCTGGCCTTGCTTGTATACCAATTCTTGAAGATTAGAAGCACGAACTTGCTGCAAATTCGTAATACCTAGAACAAAGCAAATGGAGTCTAGAATGTTCGATTTTCCAGACCCATTTAGCCCAGTGATTGCGTTAAAGAAGGGGTCAAACCCAGGAATTACAGTTCTTGTAGCGTAGGATTTGAACCCTTCTAAGCAGATCTCTTTGATGTGCATAATTATGAATTAAGGGTTCCGAATTAGAAACCCTAGAAATTGGGGGAAATTATTTTCTGGGGGTTTTAGAGGGAGGTAACTGGAAAATTCTAGTGTTTGAATTGTTTAGAGTGAGAAATTTTGAAGTTTGAAGAGTTTTTTTGAGGAGAGAGAAAGGTGGAAGATGAAGAGGCTAATGAGCGGGAAAATTAATGCAGGAGCCAAGGAGTGAGCTTTCAAAATTTTGGGAAAGTTTTTTTTGGCCTCTTTGGATCTATGGAGCTTTGACTTTGGATTTTTTTTACAAGAGCTTTGACTTCAACTTTAACCTAACTAAAGTATGAATATCATCAGAGATCATGAAAGTTATTGCTAATGAAATAATTGATCTGACTAAAGATGAACATTAGTCGATCTGTAACAAAGGTCGGTTAGGCACGACATGAAAATGAATCAATTTGCGACACAAGCCCATCACAAAATCAACACACCACAAGATAGATTATGGTGGGCACACAAGTCATCAAAAAATCAAATTATGGCATGAGCACAAGAGATGATCTAGTGTCAACCTACTTTATATATATATATATATATACCATTTTAACAAAAATACGAAAATGGTTATGAGGGTCATTGGCATGGTTTTAACTAGCACGACACGTGTGTTAGGTCATTTATGATCTAGTTCTTAAAGACTCCTATGAAACCATCACGATGCACTCCTTCTTAACCTATTTTAAGCATGATATAGTTGAGTACAAGACACGCGCTAGCACACACATGTATAGACACCGTTAAATCCAACGAGATCTAATATGATCATAAATAATTTATAATGATTGAGGGTCAATACGAAACAACTAATTATATATACAAGTACAATACTCCATCCACCTCAAAATGAAATGCTCAATTTTTTGGAAACATTTGACAATAAAATTTTCACTAATATATACAAATTGTTAAGTAGATATGTGAAATATGACTAGATATTTTTTTTTTTAGGGAAATATGATTAGATACTAGTACTTAGGGTCTATTGTCATTCGATTATTTTCAGTTCAGTTCAGATCTAATTAGTTTAGTTTAGTTCAGTTCAGCTCCTAATTTTCTTCTCTTATAAAATATTCATTTCAGTTCAGCTCAACTCTAATAAGTTCAGTTCACTTCTAATAAATTTAGTTCACTCCACTCCACTCAATGAGAACATGCCCTTAAATTTGGTCAAAAATTATACCGAGTACATTAAAACAACGCAAAATAGAAGTAAATACTCCGTCCCCATTTTAGGACGGGGAGTAATAAAGAAACGATTTAAAGTCAATTTACTCCATAGGTAAATTGCTAAACACCACATAAAATTGCTCACCCAGACACGCTCCATGATATAAATAAACAAAATCCCCCTTTTTAATTAGTTTTCAGCTTAATTTCTTCCAATTAAAAAAAGGAAAAACAGTAATTACAGTATAACACACAAGCAAAAGCAGCAAGAAGCAAACGCGTTCTTCCTAGTTTCTACTACCCTACTATTTTTCCCCAAATCCGGCATTTTCAGATTTCCAGAAATTGAACTCACCAGGTAATTTAATCGCTATTTTTATTCATTGCTTAAACCTTTTCATATCAATTTGCATTGTAACATTGTATAGCTCAATTTAATTTTCAGATTCAGCACTTATAACGATGATTTTATATAGCGGTAGATCAGAGTTAAAGTTTAGGAACAATTTGAATCTTGAATTTAGTAGTATGAAAATTACGAGTATTAGTTTTGTTGATTAATTTTAGGGCCAATGTTTATTTTTATGTAATTTCAAGGTTTTTCATTTGATTTCTGAACTATTTACTTCACTATGCTTTCACCATTCGAATTAGTCGATTCCAGAAAATTGTTTTGTAATTAAATGTTAATTGTTACCTAATATAGTTTTGAAGAAATTGCATGCTTCGTCAATCTTTAGCTTTCTTGTTATTTCCGAATATTTGTCGGTGGCTACTCAATTCCTTTTTTTTGGCCAAACCTAAAAACAAATGATGAATGAAGTTGTTACTGTCCTTCAAATGTGTTTTATTGCGAAAAATTGAGCTGAAAGTTACCAAATTTCGTTACGAAGTATACATTAGGCTTGTTAAGTGAGGAATTGGGGCTGGCTTTGGCAATGGAGGGGAATTTTTTGATCTCCACTGTCATTGGCATCGGATTCATTGGGAAGAAGCCGAATACAAGTAGTCGAGTTACTTTTAAGCGCTCTCTATGAATGATGAACTTGGTATATGTCTGTAATGGAGTATTGACCTTTGCATGACAGTTATCTGATAATCCAAAGTTTATAACAAATTTTATACTCAGTCTATTATGCAAGCTAATTGTTGATATTTTGTGCTAGAATTATAGCAGCTTAAGTGTATGTTAATAGTTGGTAGTACATTTTTTACTGCTTATAAATATTTTTGCACAAACATAATCCACTTGTATTTTTTACTTCTGTTTAATAATTTTTCGTAATGAAAGTTGAAAGAATCTGAATGAGCTAATAATTTGGGACCAAAAAATTGTTTAATTTGGGACTACATAAGCAAGGTTGTCAAGCTTGGGATCATACATAGATATGTGACATTGAATCATTGAATTGCAAGATTATGGAATGGAGGGAGTTTTTTACCAAAATCCGTTCAGTCCTATAGCTTATTTGTTGAATTTAGAGATAATTATTCTTCCCCATATTTTCCTATCATTTTTTTCACAAATGATGTCTTCATTTGAGCTGTCAACTTGTTTATTTCTTAATTTTCTGAAGGCTGTTTTCGTGTGTAATTTTTGATGCACTGATGGTTATGCTTACAATCTATATTTTACATCATAGCTTTGTTGAAATAGTTTAAATGGAACTTCTTGAGTACTGTAAACAATTTGTCTTAGTAACTGACTACTTGATAATAAAATAAACTGTTTGCTGTCATATCCTGATAATGGAATGAGTTTCAAGGATGTCATATGTTGAATGCTTCTCAAAGGGAATTTGTTTGAATTTTTTTTTCTCAGATGTCTGGTGACGTTGAAAACCCGAAATCTAGTGAGGCAAACAAGAATGCAGATGTTAATGGATCTTCTGTACCTGAAGTTCAAGTGACATGGTACAGTATCTTTTGTCAGCAAGTATCCGTCTATGGAGTAGCTGCTGGGTACTGCCTTTCAGCCTCCTTACTTTCGATCATTAATAAATGGGCTGTTATGAAATTTCCATATCCTGGTGCACTCACTGCACTGCAGTATTTCACCAGTGCTGCTGGTGTGTTAGTTTGTGGACAGCTAAAGTGGTTAGAACATGACCCTCTTGACCTTATGACCATGTGGAGGTTCCTTCCAGCCGCAATTATCTTCTATCTCTCCCTTTTCACCAATAGTGAGCTCCTCCTCCATGCCAATGTAGACACATTCATCGTCTTCCGCTCAGTAGTCCCCATCTTTGTTGCAATTGGAGAGACCCTCTTTCTGCACCAGCCATGGCCATCACTCAAAACATGGGCCTCACTTGTCACTATTTTTGGTGGAAGTGTCATTTATGTGATGACAGATTATCAATTCACAGTAATGGCTTACACCTGGGCTTTAGCTTACCTTGTAAGCATGTCCATCGATTTTGTTTATATAAAACATGTGGTTATGACCATTGGGTTGAACACGTGGGGCCTAGTCTTGTACAACAACCTTGAGGCTCTCCTACTCTTTCCATTAGAGCTGTTTCTTATGGGCGAGCTGAAGAAGATAAAACATGATATTTCTGATGAGTCAGAATGGCATTCTTTTAGCGTCATCCTGCCAGTGGGGTTATCATGCTTATTTGGACTCTCAATCTCATTTTTTGGGTTCTCTTGCCGAAAAGCAATCTCTGCCACAGGCTTTACAGTTCTTGGAATAGTGAACAAGTTACTAACAGTTGTTATCAACCTTGTAATCTGGGATAAACATTCTACTTTTGTGGGAACAGTTGGCCTTCTTGTCTGTATGCTGGGTGGTGTTATGTATCAGCAGTCTACAAGCAAACCTAAGCCTGTGAAAGCTGCAGAGCCACAAGAAAGCCAAGAAGAAGAACAGAAATTGTTAGAGATGCAAAGCAATATAGAAACTGATCACACTTTGGAACCTAACTCAGAACTAAGAGAGGGGAAATAAAATGGATTCTGAGGGATTCTCTACCTTATGTTACCAGAGGACTATTCTCTCTGCTGCCTTGTGCTGGAACCACGACCTGCCCGGAAAATTTGGATGCATCGTCAGCTAGACTGCAAGGCACTGGTATTTTCTCTATTGTCAAATACTAGCGCTGAGTAGTGAGTATACTCGTGGTGGTTTGTGGGGCTTAGATTTTGCTGGTTCAATAGCCAGATGAAAGAAACATATTCATACCTGAATATTCATTTTTTACATGTCTAGTTCTTTTGCTTCACTTACTGTTCAACAGCAATTCAAAATGACGCTGTTGTTTTTATGCCACTTGTTTTGATATACAAAATTAATGACATGTTAGTCAGCCTCCTAATGGTTTTTTATTTTGTTATAAGATAGAAGTTCTTGTATACCTGTAAGTGATTGTTAAAATAAGGGCTAATCTAAGTTGCCTTTAAACGGGCCAATTTCATTAACGTAGGTTTACAACTTAGGCCGATTCAAAAAACTCAAGTCTACCACAAACATTTATGACAACATATAATGATCATATATGGTTCCATACGGTATTCTATGACCCCGAGATATATCCCCTATAATCTAAAGATTTTTCGACACCGGGCTTCGGAAACCTCCAAAATTTCTCAAAAAACATGGATATTAGCCTTCAATTTTGGATTTTTTTTTTTACTTTTTTTAACCCGAAAATAAAAATTGCCGAAATGTTTACCATGGTCCCTAATATCCTCCGAGAGTCTAATTGGGTGGATGGAATAATCCTATTTGCCTTTAAACGGCCAATTTACCAGTTTACAACTTGCACCAATTTTATTAATTCAAGCCTACCACGGACATTTATGACAACAAATAATGATCATATATGGTTCCAAAAGACATTATATGACCCCAATATGTATTCCCTAGAATTTAAAGACTTTTTGACACCTAGCCCCAAAGACTCCAAAAATTCTCAAACAGCGTGGATAATAGTCTTCAATTATTAATTTTTTGACTTTTTTTTGCCCGAAAATAACAATTGCCGAAATGTTTACCATTGTCTCTAATATCCTCCGGGAGTCCAATTGGGTGGGTGGATCGATCCAATTTGCCTTTAAATAGCCAATTTACCGGTTTACAACTTGCGCCGATTTCATTAACTCAAGTCTACCACAAACATTTCTGACAACAGATAATAATCATATATGGTTCCAAACGGTATT